GCAGTATCAAGAATGTGAAGCCCACAGGCTAGAAGTTTCCAGTAAACATGTGACGCAACCGACCTGGTATTCTCATACTTTGTTGGTCGAGATGATTACGTACAACCAACCACTTTGGAAAAGTTTGATAGTCACTCATAAACACACAGGTAATAGGCGATGAAGCCGGTGGTATTATGCGAAAAACCACATCAACATAAAACCGTGTGCATTTTTGATAGCAGCTTTATTCATCGCAGTCAAAACTGGAGACAATCCAAGTAATCGCCAACTAATGAATAATTTGTGGCATATCAAAAATAAAACTCAGTCACAAAAAGGTATTGCTGATGCATGCAAAAAAGAACAAAGATAAACATAGAATGTATGATTCCATTTACACAAAAACCAGTAAAACAGAAAGGACATCAGTCAGTGTCTGGGGCCAGGGACAGGGGTACTGGCTGCAAAACGTCATAAGCAGCATCTCATTGGTAGAAATGTCCTCTCAGTTGCAGCGGTCGCCTTTGCAGAGAGTCCTCCAGGGGCCCCTGGGACTCCTACATGGCTTGCTGACTGTGCAAAGACCACCAGGATCTGACCAACTGCTCTTCACCTCGACCTCTCTGTAGCTGACAACCTTGAAAGATGAAGTAAGGTCTCCCCCTGGCTTCCTTGCTGCTTTCTATAAAAGGAGTAAATGCCCCAAGTTTAATATTATTCAGTTGAAATACAAGCCCACTGAGGGCACATCCATGGCCGCCATACCGTGTGGCGCCCCGGGTTTCTTGGCGGTAAAGGGAACTGCACAAACGTGGTGATTTCCATGCTGTCAGCTCTACCGAGGAATGGATGACTTGCTGTCTGGTGCAGGAGTCTCCGGGCTTCCGCCAGCATCCAGTCACGACAGCAAGGGGCTTTTAGGCTGCCCACACCAGTTACATGAAGCAAACCTCATTCATCTACATATCTAAAATGGGTACACTTTACTGAATAGAAATGGAAGAGGAAGGAGAAAAGGTGTAGGAGAAAATAGGAAATGAAAAAGAGGAAGGGCAAGGAAATGAGGAAGAAAAAAGAAGGAAGTCAGGACATCAAAAATTCCTCAGTGCATGGAGGAATGAATCCAGACTCATAAAGACAGGGAGAGGATGTCTATCATGTCCAGCATGGACATACACATAGACACACACACACACACACACACACACACACACACACACACTTTTAAACTGTCTCTGAGGAGCCCCTTCACCAAGGAAGTAAGTACACTGGAGAATGCAAAACTATCCTTGTAAAATGCTGTCCTGGCTGTCCCTTTTTTGTTCTGGGTTAAAGATGGGCGATACTGCCATTAAAAGGGGCTCCCTACTCTCAGCAGGATAGTAAGAATCACAGTCTGACACCCCAGAGACACTTAACCCTGGGCTACGAAGTGGGTGTGGCTATCCTCGAAGTCTCTGAGTGGCCTGCTCTTTGGTGACGGCTAACCATGGCGTCCTCAGGAACAAGGGACGGGCAGGAATTGCACGAGCTGTATGACAAGCTGTATAACGGAGAGGGAAGAGGGGGGAAGGAGGCATATCAAGCAGGGGTCTGACTGAGCAGCCACAATGGAGCGCTACGACATCCCCCCCCCCCCCCCCGCCCCCGCCCCGCCCACGCCCAGACGGAGCCTGCCGGCACACACAGAGCCTCCGGAATAAAGGAAAGGATGGGGTCCGCCAAGGACTCAATAAAGTCCCACCGAGAGCAAACTTAAACATCCTCCTCCTCGTCTTTTCCCACAGAACACGCAGCTACGTGTCAAGGAGGCTGCGCATTTGAGAAAGAATCGCTTGGGCTTTTCAGGGGTTGCTCAACACTGGCTCTAAGCCAATGCTAACCCTTGGGGACCAAATGTCACTGTGCTGAGCCATTGAGATCGGTTGTGGTGTCACAGTGATTAACAGTGTGCTGGCCTCAATCCCGCTCACGGCGGGCCCAGGGGATTCAGGGACCCAGCCCGTAATTTCTCCGACCCGCTTTTCCTGAATTTACAGTTAAAGGCTCTATCAACTATGAAATAAGGGCTAATGGTTAAAATCCCCTAGGTCCGCCCCTTCCTACCAAAATAATAAACCCAAGACAACAGCAGACCCTTCTGGAAATTGCATAGGAAGAGAGCAACTTCAGAGACTTACGACACAGAGATGGTGACTGTCAGGACAGCCTGGTTTCAGTTTCACGAGCCTATCTGGCCAGCAAAGAGGGGAAAGGGCTTGGAGAATAATGGGATTACTGGCAAATCAAGTTCGAGTGGAGACTGCAACCGTAGCTGCTGTTCCTGGAGGGTCTGTACTAGGACAGATCAACACATTCCCTGGGACCTAGAGTGCATCTATCACACTAACAAATGCTTTTCCAGTCTTTTCCAAAAACAGACCACCAGAAGCTCTTTTCATCCGACAGTCCTGAAGCACACCTTCACTGTCACAGCCCAGCCTCCGACTCTGCAGCTGTCATTCGTTAACTAGCCCACAGAATGTTGGAGCATCTTCACACCTCACACGCCCACTGCTATGCTGTTAGTCCTACTAGCAAATCCTCTTTTCCCCTGTCCCCACATTTGTTACCATACAGATTTCTACTTTTTGCCAACCCGACAGGTGGGGTACACATCGCATTGCTATTTTAATCTGCACCTCTCTAATAATTTCAAACACCTCTTTCTATGCTTGTTTGATTTCCAATTCTGTAAACTAGTTAATACCCTCAGCCTGTTTTTTTCTGCGAAGTATTTTTTGTCCATTTTATTGCTGTGTAGTTCCTTGTCTCGATAATAATCCTTGCCAATTTTAGTGACTGCAAGTGACTTCTTTCAGCTTCTGCTGAATGAAAATCTTCAATTTGTATATATCCAAAGTTATTACTTTTTCACCTTTATCCGTTTTTGAAGCTCTAAGAAGTCCATCCAAGTCCCTAGGCAAAGGACTTCTTCAATGAGGTCTTCCATTAACTTCACAGTTTATCCTGACACATTTAGGTTAGGTCTTTAACCTATCTAAAGTCCATGCTGTCTGTGGCGGTAGGTTTGTTTTTCTTACAAACAGAAGGCGCTCTCCCTAAACATGACTCACCTGTCCAGTGATTTATGAGGCCGCCTTTAGCTTCCGTTCCTGAACACACAGGTAAGTCTCTTCATTTGTTCTCCCAGTCTGCTTTTCTGCCTCGCATTGATACTACAATCTTCTTACTACAACCTTGGGTCAGGATCTTTTTGATAAGGAAAAACCCCACCAAAACAAATCTTTAAGATTAATTTAACTATTCATAAACTTTATCCCACCTGCCATGTAACTCTTAGATTTAGGTTACTGAGTTTGTCAAACTAGAAATTTGATAGTATTTTGGCTGACTGGATAAATTGGAGAAAACTGACATTCTTTTAAGTCACCTTACACCAAGAGCTAGGGAACTTTTTCATTTATTATTAGGCCCTCTGCAGTTCCAATTAAAGTGTCAAAGTTTTCTCCTTAAAAGTCAGCTTATTAAATATTTTTTAATTCATGAATTTGTTATCCATTTCTTCTGAGAGCAGCTTTGTAGATTTTTAAGAATTTATACATTTCCCCTAGGCTTTCAAATTAACCTACAGTAATTCATCAAATTCTTTTAAGAAATTTCATTTGTAGTCATTCCCCATTTTTTCACTCATTGACTTTGCTTTTTTTTCTTCATCAGTGTTACCGGAGTTCTGCCTAGCTTACAAATCCTTACAGAACAATCTTCTGGTTTGATAAGTCTTTCTTTTATTACTAACTTCACATATCTGCTCTTAGTTTTACGGTGTTTTTTGAATTTTCCCAAGTGAACTATGCTTTAACACTAAAGTAAACTTCCTTCAGCATTTAGTCACCCTGCCAGACGTCCAAAGTCTGATTTCATCACATAAACTTCAATACACAAACTATGTAATATAAACAGTTTCTTATGTATGCAGAGTGTGGTAAAAGTGGCGTGTAAATTTGACCAACCATCGCTACCTATGTCTCTGACTGAAGCAGCACGGTGAAGGCCAACCAAACCACACACAAGAAAATGTGTAAGGCTGTGACTATACATCCGAATCAAGGCAAACATTCTCTGCACAACTAATTGGACAATTACTGGTACCGCTGGATAAAATTAGTAACTAGGAATGAAATCGCCAGTTGCTTTACCAGATGCCATTCAAAACTTGCAGTTATTAATAGAGAAAAATCTGGCTGTGACGGTCAATAACTACCACCACCACCTCCAAAACAACCCACCCAAAGCAAAAGCACTTTATTCCTGTCCTCGCTGGGGCAGCGGACATACATCCTGGCTGGGTCAGCTTCAGATTGCAAAACAGATTCTGGTCTTGACTCCTTCTGCCTGCAGCTGGGCCTCACGGCGGACCCCTAACCTGAAGTTCAACATCCAAGAGAATCTTGGATTTGTGAACATGCTTAATAGCTGACTCTCCAGGGCAGGCTCTGGAAAGTAATTTTATACATTATTAGCTTCCAACGGGATGTGGCAGCTCCCGCTGCATCGACGTGTCTCCAAAGCCCCCCCCCACACCCCCTACCCGGGCGCCCGGCGTGCGCCGCAGGAGGCGGGAGCGAGGCGCAGGTATATGGGTCAACTTTCTCATTCCTGACTTGTGTAACGCGGACAAGCTGAAAGCGCGAGCTGCCAGATTTCTTTTCTCTCTGGATGCAAAAATAAAATAAAATAAAATACTGAAAGGCCCCTCGGGCCTCGGGCAGCGCATTTCACAAACCTCCACGTCCGCGAGTGGAACTTCACGGGGCGGGGAGGGGCCTCCCCACGCCGAGGCGGCCGGGGGCGACCGGGGTCGCGTCGGAGACTGGGGGGGGGGACCCCGCGGCGCCCCCAGGCCGGCCAGGCGCGCAGCCGGGCGCGGGGAGGGCGGCGGGCGGCGGGGGGGGCGCAGCCCCGGCCGGGAACAAAGGAGCGGGCGCCGCGCGCCGGGGCGCGGGCCGGGCACTCACAGAACTTGGAGGTGGAGGTGTTGATGTTGATGGTGGCGCCGGGCGCGGGCGCGGGGGCCGCCTTGGCCGCGGCGGCCGCGTCGCAGCTCTTGAGCATCATGATCACCCCGTTGGGCTCCGGCGGCGGCCCCTCCTTGGGGCCCTTCCTGTCCACGGCGCCCGCGGGCGCCGCCAGCAGCGGCCCCCCGGGGGCTCCCGCGCCGGGGCCGGGAGCGCGGCGGGCGCCGGCGGGGGCGGGCGGAAGCCGTCCGCCGCGGCCTCCCAGTTGTTGTGGTTCTGGTCGTCCATCATCGCCTCGTAGCTGCACCACTCCTCCTCCTCCATGCTCTCCTCCATCCTGAGGCCCGCGCCCGCCGCCGCGCAGGCACCTGCCGCCCGGCTCTACCCCGGGCAGGGGCACGGCGGCCGCCTCGACTCACATCGCCGGGGCGGGCGGCGGGCAGGGGCAGCGGCCGCCGGGCCGCTCTCTCGCCGCGGGGCCGGCTCCTGGCGACGCGCTGACGGCGGCGGCGCTCCCGGGCGCGGGGCTGGGAGAGGCAGCCGTAAAGCGGCGGCGCCGCTCACGACATTTTACGGCAGCGCCCAACAGGCAGTTGGAAAGGGCGGCGGGGGCGTGGCCAGGCGGGCACGTGGTGCGGGGAGCGCGCCTCGCGAAGGCCCAGCGACCAGGGGCGGGAGGCGGGAGGCGCCCGGACGCGAGCGGGCAGAGGTTCCGCGGCCTGCGACGGCCCCGCGCCCGGAGGGGTGGGGCGACGGGCCCGGAGCACCGTCGTCGGCCCCGCCCCCGGCTCGGCCTCACGTGACAAGGGAGCTTGTCTGCGCTTGCGTGTTTCTGGTTACCAGGACAACAGGGAGCGGGCCGGGCGCTGAAGGTGCGGGCCGTGAGCCCCCCGGCCCGGCGGGGTCTCTGGGCCGCTGTCGGTGCTTTTCTCGGGATTCGGGGCCCTCGCGCCGCACAGGTGCTGGAAGCCCGGCCTTTGCTCGAGGACGGAGCCCGGGGGCCGCCGGAGGGCCCGGGTCGCGCTTTCTAAATGGGTGGGAGCGCCCGGGGCGGCCCTTGAGGCGCCTGACCGCGAGCCTCAGCCTGCTGGATGCAAACCCAGAAACACGAGAATAGAAAGCGAAACGTCGCTGGTTAGCGAAAAAAATAATGCATTTGAGATATGTTCCTTAACGCCGCCACACACGGAGACCAGACATTTTAAAGCGAGAAATGCCAAGTACGCTGCTTTGCAAATGTGACTACAAACACCCGTGAGAGGCTTGGGGGTGGAAGAAAGAGGATGAGCTCTAATTTCTTCCCTTCCTCAGAGGAGATCTGCGTTCTCGAATTATAGCCGTAGCAGCATATTATATGAGAATATGTGTTGTTTATTGCTCATTCTAGATACTGGTGATAAGGAAGTTGCCTTGGAAAATCGATTATTACGTTGAAGCTAGTAGGTAATAAATATTTCCCCAGATATGTAATTAGTGTGGGGAGAAGAATCTCTTCAGTCCCTGAGAAATTGTGTCTCTGATGTATCTCAGTGTCCACATTTGCTTCAGCTTGTCTACCTATGTTTCCCTAATATATTCTGTACTAAAAGTTGTTACCAATCATTTAGAATCATTTAATTTCAGACAGTTCTCATATAAATTAATGGTGTATATACTTTTTTTTATTTATTTATTTTACTACCTGGACCTGAAACGTGTCCTGGAATTTTGGGGGGGAATACAAAAAAAGGGAAAAATTTTTTTTAATTAAAACACAATTGAGTGAAATGCTACAGGGTAAAAGACTAACCTCAGAATGCCCAGCACAATAGGGCTGAAAGAAAGAAAACTTCATAGTCTTTCAGACAACTGATAGTTTGTCATCCATAAACTTTCTAGGTAGGGTGTGTCTGTGTGAATAAGAAAAGTTTCTACATAATAAAAAATATACAAGGAAGATACATAAATGTGTCTGTAATAACATGGTCACAAAATAGGCAAAGCAAAAATTGATAAAGGCACAAAAAAGAAAGAGAAATCTACCAACAGAGTAAGTGCTTTTCCACATACATCACTAAATATTATAGATCGCAGTGGGTTGAATTGTAACCCCCAAAAAGCTGGGTCCCTGTACTAATTAATCCCTGGAAACTGTGTTATTTTATAACTTAGTTATTAAAAGTGAAATCCCCTTGGGTTATGCATAACCAAGTAGGACATAAGCCTACTAACAACTGTCCTCAGAAAAAGGCAGGGGGAGATGGAGCAAAGAGAAGACAGAAGAGGCATAGACAGAGAAGAGTAAGAGGTGGTATACAGGCAGAAATTGGGGTGATGCAGTCTCTCAAAGCTGGAAGAGGCAAAGGATGGAATCTCCGCTAGAGCTTCCAGTGAGAATGCAACCCTATTGCTCTCTTGATTTCAGATTTGGGCTTCCAGAACTGTGAGAGAATACTTTCTGTTGTTTTAAGTCATCCTGTATGTGGTAATTTGTTACAGCAGCCACAAGAAACTAAATACACAGATCAAAGGGAATCAAACCCTTTAGAATACCCGAAGATTTGAATAACACAACTACCAAGTCTGATTGATGGATACATAAGGAACATTGCATTTGATGACTGAAGAAAAGACATTTCTTTCAAGAATATGTAAAACATTTACAAAAATTTAACCTACTGGGTCATAAAGTGAGTGTCTCTACACATCTAATGATTGGTAGCATAGCAACCCACATTCTCTGACCAATATGTATTAAATTAGAAATCAATAATCAAGAGACATCTTGTAAACCACCACACCTCTTCCAATCAACTCACGGGTTACAAAATCATGATGGAACTTAGAAGATATTTAGAACTGAAGGGACTGGTATTATCATAGTCATATAACACCCATTCTAGTAAGGTCCTACTCCAGGAGTTTTACCCAGCACACTGGGGAACATTAAGCCCTTCACATGTGTACTGCCAAAATGATCAATGTTAGACTTTTTTTTTTTTTTTTTTTTTTTGCTGTGACTGGTTAAGCACACCATTATGGAAAAATCTAGTAATGGTTGGACCAAAGTTGTCACTGACAGGGTGCAACTTGCCATAAATAAGAAGAAACACTACCTTCTGAAGGGAAACAACATGAACATTCTGGTAACTTGCTGATTTCATGGCTACTATAAGACATTGTTACATTACATTTAAAGACATATTTAAAAAGTTATAAACTTATCATCTTTGATGATTTGTCCTGGGATATAGCAATGGAGGATGACATTACTAGCAACCATTTACCCACTATATATGTAAAATATATATGTTAAGTATAAATCTGGATTCTACACATTAAAATGTTTGCTTAGACATGTAGAAACAGAAAGTGTAGGTTAAAATTGCATAAAACTCAATGTTATTCATTGGCTAGAAGACTGATAAGGTCTAGAAAGGGCAAAGGTGAGGTGTGGTCCTATCTAGCTCCTGTTCTGCTTCTCAGTCTTGTCCTTTTTTGAAGGCTTCATTCTCAGGCTGCCAGCAAAATGGCTATCACAGACTAATGCCTCATCCACACAATGTCCAGATGAAGAGGGCCCATGACTTCTGGAAGCTGTCTATTATGAGTAACTTCTTTCCTAGAAGCCCTCAGAAAAGACCCTCTCAATGTTTCATTAGCCCATTCCTGAATCAATCTACATGGCACACAGACCTCTGTTCCAGACCTGTTTCCTGGAAAGGATACGGATATATTTCTGGAAAATAAGACCCACTTCTGAAACCTCAGTGGGACTGGCTCCTTAAGTACATTGGCTAAGAAGGGAGGGTGGATACATACACAAAAATTGGAATCAAGTTGGGAGGTTTAAATGGTTGCTAAGAAGGCAAAATGCCCATTATAAGCCCAAATAGCTAATCCCCCAGAGTTTATCCATTGCATAACATCATCCCAACCCACCTCCTCCCTCCCTTTCATAAATACCTCATTAATAAATATATTTGTGGGAAATTGTATAGGTACTGATTAAAATCAAGAAAGATGGAACATGTTCTTATTCTATTCAAAATAATTATGTGGCTAATTGTCTAAACAGTTAAGACTTGGAAGGGGACACACAGAGACTTTCTTATTAACAATTAGTCTTTGAGTGGCTTTAAAGGCCTCCATGTCACCTTTACCACAGAATAATCATTGCAATTTAATATTTTTGAATGATAAATGCATGATTTAAATCCACTTGAAACCTTACTTCATATCGACAGTCCTTTCTTCTGTTGCAAACACTTAAAACATAGCCTTCACTATGAGATGCATTTTCCCTAAGAGAAAGCAAAGTTTGTGATTGCTGCTTTTACATCTTTTTATCTATCCTACACACCTCCTTCTTGCATTGTTAGTGAAGGGTGAAATTGCTCAGAGTTTAGCAAGAAGAGGAAAGAGATACATGTGGCTGGTGAGTCATAAAAACTAATTGAATCAGAAAAGGTTGTGGCAGACAACATACAGCAAGATAGATGATTTCTATTCATTGCTATTTCATTTTTAAATTTACTGTTGATTTCATGAAGGTATTAGCATGGAAAACTTAAGAACTTTGATCAACTGTTTTAACATAGGACTGAATTCTTTTTTAATCCCTAGGGTATTATAGTGGTAACAACACAGCATTTGACAAAGAAATGACTTGTGAATGTGTAATGCATTTGGAAGTCTAAAGGCAAAGTTTATTGGAATGATCTTGGCTAAAGGTAAGAGATTAGGGACGTGCAAATAACCCAAGCCTCAGTGCACTGTCATTACTGCTGATATTAAACTGGTGTGGCCACGTGGGGCAGTATTCTCTGTTAGGGATTTCTTTCCATGTTGAATGTTCCTTTCTTTTACATTGTCAGCATCTGTATTTTATTTTTTTTTAAAGATTTATTTATTTATACAAGCACTGGGTACAGTCAGAAGCGCGGGAGGGTGAGAGAATTCACCAGAGCCAGAGCAGGGAGCAGAACAGGCAGAAGGACCGAAGTACACTGCTGAGGAGAGCAGCGGGCAGCAGGAGAGGTCTGCGCGCTATGTGGGACCCTCGCCGGTGGCCGGGGATCGAACCGGTGCTGCAGAGGCTGCAGGCTTCGCAACCCAGCGCTCAACCAGTGCGCCAACGTGGAGGCCCAGCATCTGTATTTTAAATGCCATGCTAGTAGGAGAACAGACATAATGTAGCAGAATCACTCCACTAACCTGAAGAATTTAGGAGTTGAAGGAAACGACTTTAGGTAGAAAGAACTGTAGGAAAAAAGACTTTTCCTAAAGCACAGTGGTGGCAATGTCAGGGACAGGGACAGGCTTTGCCCTCTCACTCAGTCATTCACAAATATTTTTGTGTTCGGGCACTATGTTGGGACTACATCAATAA